CACGAGCGGCACATTCCGTGGGTACGGGTCGCACTCCAATCGCTCCCGTCTTCCCAAATTTCCAGAAAACCAGATATCCTCCCACTCCAATCAGAAGAAATCCAGTGATCATCAGGCCGAATATCCACAAATCTTCCACGTCCTCGATGGACAGCTGAGAGAGGCACACGATTCGCCAGACCTCCCAAGAATCGAGTGCATATCCCGATGCGAATGTCCCCTCGGGACAGGTGGGAGCCCCCTTCTCCGTTCTCATCGTAGAGAAAATTTTGTCAATCACGTTGAATGACCAATTAATTAAGTCCATATTTCCAAAAAGAGAGTAGTGGTTTCAGGAGAAATGCAGAGAAGTGCTCTGTAGGCAGACAGGACAAGAGCCTTGGGAAAGCCGATAAGGGAGCTGAGAAAAAAACGTCTGTACTCTCTGAAGGCTGGAGAAGCAAAGTCATAAAGGTGTTGATTGTTTGGCTGATGTGAATATGTTTGTGAACCATTAAGACTTTTATAAATTTCTATATTTAAAATGTCCTTTGGAAAACCAACCAAACAAAGGGATTATTAAACATCCAAATGCATGTTTTTATGAGGAATGTATCTAACTGTATCATGAACGTACAAGTAGCTTAATAAAAGTGTTTTCTCTGGCAAATCCTTCATCTAAATGGCTGCTAACAAGCTAACAAGATGTTTTCAGCAGCACGTTTAACTTAGAGGCACCAAACAGCTTAATGGTTAGTGGGTTTCCTGACATGAACTTCTTGTTTCAGCCTTTGACAAAAAGACTCGTTGATGAAAAAGAATTATTTGTCCAGGATTCTTTTCACTGACAGACTTAATGGATATAATTCAGAGCTTATTACTCCATTAATGACAATAATCAGTTTTTCCCTGCAAATCAAAATGTTATACTCTTTTCGTAAACTGTTTTCTGAGTGTTTCACTTTAAAACTACACATCTATATTCTTTTCTCATCAGCCGACAGCTGTGTCCAACAGGATGCTGACATAAATAAAGATGAATGAAACATCTTCATTTTGCACTAAAATGAAGCCAAAACATCCTGTTTACTGTTTATTGTTAGCCAGAGTCTGCATATTATCCAGAGTCTGCATATTATCATCATTAAAAGCTAAGGGTGTGACTTGATTAAACAAATTAATCTAATTAATCAGAGGCTTTGTAATTTATTAATCTTGATTAATCACATTTTAATCATTCAAGACAAATTGCCCCTAAGAAATTATTTTATTTAAAATATTGTTAGTGAAGCAGAGATGACTCACCCGCACTTTAATGAGTGTATGTTGCCACAAGGTCTATTTGATTACTTTGGTCTCTTTATAAAGATAACCATTGTGGGATTTCTTTTGGGATGTATAAATGTTAGTATGTGTTATTGATGTAGTGTAAAGTGCAATGTCCAACAATGGTCAGTTTTTAGGTACAGTTTGACCATTCAACATCTGGTTAAAAAGGAGACACAAGACTGCATGTGTTCCCTTTAAATTGGCCTGCCTTCATGAGCCTCTCTGACTCTGAACACAGATAGCGAATTGTCAACAATAATGTTCTCTCCTCAAGGTCCATCCTTATCACCCTACAGGATTCTTCATGCCTAACACTCGCAGCTTGGATCAGTTGCTAAATCAAAGAATGACCTCCTAAATTAAAAATGAACTTCTAAAACTTATAAGCTAGATAGTCATTAAATAAACGTTTGTTTATTGCTACTTATAATAATTATAATGTAATGAAATGTTTCATTAATCTGTGCTCAATGATTGAAGTGTGAAATGGATGTTATGTTATGATTACTGTGATTAGGGATGGGTACCTCTGACATTTGAATCGATTCGGTACTAATTCCCGGTACCTAGGAATCGATACCGGTACCAATTTTCGATACTTTTGAGTGTTTATTATTTTAATTCTCTTTTATAATTAAATATATATTTTTCTCAATATATAACAATATTTGATAAATATCACGATAAATAACATACAACTGTTTGTATTTTAACATTGTCCTTGTAGTTTTATAAGCTGATAATTAAACTGAAGCAAACATCTTTACTGTAAACTAAATTTACTGTGTATCTTCATTCCTTTTGCCGTCTTTTTTCATTTGATTTTTCCTACTGGGAAGTTAGAATTTCCGAGGAGAAAGCTGATAACAACGGTGGCAATGGAAGCTAACATATCAAGCTAACGTTATCTTAAACAGTTTATTTAACTGCTGGAGCAGATAAATACGATGCTGCCTCACACTTAGATCTTTGTCACTGGTTTCATCTTCACCCAGTCACCCGTCGCATTTAGTAAAGTGAAGCCAAACTTTAGAGCACGTTCATGTTCTTCTAGTCGGAATTTCGGAGTTTCGAGGAGAATGCGAACGCACCATTAGCGAAACGGAAGCTAACATATCAAGCTAACATTATCGTAAACATTTTATTTACCTACTGGATTAGATTAAGATGAGGATGTCTCACTTAGATCGTTGTCGCTGGTTTCATCATCACCCAGTTACCCATCACATTTAGTGAAGTGGACCCAAGCTTTAGCGTGCATTCTTTCTACCATGCTGCTCTGTTTACAACTGGCTCGCAGCGAGCGACGACATAACGCTCTTGCGCATGCGCAACTGTCTTGGCAAGTTCTCGTTATGAAGGACGGGTACCGAAACGAGGCACCGTTTGAAATGACGTGAATCGGTGCTCGGTCGGTACTATGGAATTCGGTCAGTACCTTAAAAAGTACCGAATTCGGTACCCATCCCTAATCAAGGTCATAACCACTTGCACTCAGACAAGAACAAAGTAAGGTTAAGTTAAACTCATGACACATAAATAGCCTTTACCCCAGATCAGAGCATCCAGTATCAAAGAAGGCGTGTGTTTCTGAGACTTGGTAATATTCCTCAAACTTGTCAACCTCTGGTTGGCTACACGAATCATAACATGATAACATTTAAACCAGATCACTCTGGTGATTCATCAGTTCTTGAGAAAAGCTTCAGACCGGCCAACTGAAGCAAGACCTCTATAACCCATCAAAGCTTTTGACACATCGTCAAAACCTTTTTGCACCTGCAAAGCTGATACAGCAAACAGTTCCTGCAGAACAAGCTGATATTGTTCCGACTCCTTAGAGTCCCAGACGCGCGGTTCCATCTATCTGTCGTGACCCGAGACATCTCTGGACTGAAGAGTCGGTGCCACGGTATTCACACAGCCCTTCGGTGCCAGAGGTCATCCGACCTCTCTGACCTTCGGATCCACCAAGAGGGTCTCCGAAAATGGGTGAAGTAGACACACAGATAGTGTCTGATGTGCTTTTGATAATAATCAACTTCATAGCTTAACACAAACCAAATTCTTTTGCATCCAGAACTCAGCTCTCCTAGATACGGAACATCTGACTAACATCACATTCACACATAGCTTTCCTACATCACATTTAGTTCCATCCATCACAGAAAATATTAGTGAACTTGTCATGTTTTAATTGTTGGTAAAATAAATTCTTACATTTTTAAACCTGACTCTTTTCTGAATCAAAACAAAGTGTGTACAATCCCCTAATAAATAAAGAATCCTAGAATCTTCTGATTAAACACAGTAAAGACCAAGCAGGGTTGATATTCTATATTTAGATAGAGTATCACAGCTTATTGGTCATAAGTAGAGGAAATATATATTGAGCTCTTAAAGCGCTCAATTTACCAAACCCTACAAAAGGAACATTGTACATGTGTACTGAACTGAACACTAGGTGGCAGATCATTGCTAATATATACAGAGGTATAGTGTAGAGTTCAGGGGAAGTTCTGCTGAGAGTTGCAAGATGAATGCTGCATCTATGCTTGCTCCTCCTGCTGTAATAAAGTTCGCAAGGATAAAGTTACTTCCTACCTGCTTTCTACCATCTGCAAAACATAACAGTAAAAAAGTTATTTTTTTCTTTCTTGTCTTTATAAAAGCAGTTTGTTATGATTCATTTCATTTTAGTTTGAACTGTGTTTTGTGCAAGGAAAAATATTTATGTGGCTCTGAAATCTTTTTAGAGGTGCATATTTTGATGCTAAACTGTCTCAACCCCCATTGGGGAATGCTCAGGCTCAAACGTAATTATTTTTGACTCATTCTTTTTTTCAAATTAATAAATCATAATTAACACATTAAATTCCCACCCCTATTAAAAACATTAGCAAATGTTGAAGCCAACACCAGCAAGAACCACCCCCTCTATGGCAATGGGTGTGACATAATTAGAAAATGTATCAAAATGAATAAGAAACATGAATGTTTCTGTCTGAGAAGATGGGTTGTTAGTCATGTAATACCCAATTAGAGTCAAATGTATTACCTAAATAAATATCTGGACATGCAGCAGTATTTGTTTAGCTGGGTTCTGCTTATCGACCACAAGGACTTGTAAGAACATCTGATGATCTAACAGCTCTTCTGAAAGTAAATATTGAAAATGTTCACGACACCAGGCACTTAATAGAAAGTTATCTCTGAAGAAGGTTGCCATAAATGAGCTCAAGGAGGTTTCTGTGTCGGTAGGGGAGTGGAAGGGACACAAATGCATCAACATAGATATGTAAGAATGTCATGGAACAAACGCATGGATGTCGTGAATCCCATCGTATCAAGAACAACAGGTGTTGGGGAAGACATCACATTCTCATCTGGTATAAATGTGGTCAAATTATTATTTTCTTAAAGGGATTGAAAAATAATGTATGCAATTCAATCAATTATTCATTATGACACTTTAGCTGCCATGTTCTTGCTGTAGCTAGTTTAAAAAAGCCAAGTGAGTCAACATGTCTTTTGGCTCGACTACCTAAGTATTTTCCATGTTTTCCTGACATGCTCTTATTTTTAACTTCTCATTCCACAAATTATAGTATGTTGTTTACATTAACAATATCAAAATAACATTACACACACACGTTTAAATTGTAAAGAAGAGTAAAAGTGGAAATACTCACAGTCCTCTGAGCCTGAGCCAAATCTTCTCTATCTGCTCTGGTTGGAGGTACTTCAACGCAGTGCTTTCAAACTCCTCGATCTCTTTGGTGGGAGACTCCATATCAAACTGATACAATTGCATAAAAACGAGTTAAAAAGTTAAAGGTGTCAAAAAGTCAAATCCCAGTGAAGTGTGAGCAGAAAAGAAGACCCAGGAGAGTGCTACGAGGTGGTGAAATCCAGGATGTCACCAAGGCTTCCCTGCTCAGATTTGCACCCACAGCTGCAACAAACTGCCTGCCATCCTTGTTTTTTTCCTCCCTCTCCGACAGAGTGGATGTGACTGAAACTCAATAACTCTGAGTGGAGCTCGGTGCAGCGCTCGGCCAGCTGTGACAGTCGTGAAACGCTTTTTCTGTGCCTGTTGTTCGTTCACTTCTCTCCTGTGTGAGCACAGGGGTCCTGGAGGCGTGCCATGCTCTCCCAGCAACAACGGGATGCAGACGGCAGGGCAGCGCAATCCGGGATTAAGGCTCAAAACTCTCCACGCGAGAAGAGAGGGAGGCAAAAGCAGCACCAGTCAAAGAGGGGGAGGAGACTGAGCGCTAATGAGAACCCATGTTCTGTTGCATCCAGTGGAAAACCTCATGGGGTGAGAAGGAGGAGGAGGAGGATGCAGAGGGGCACGGGGGTGAGACCTTTGGGAGGAGGCCCAGGATTACCCAAACTCACTTTCTGCTCAGTTAATTCAAATAAATGCAGTTATAAATACGTTAATATATACTTATCGTTTAAAAGGTAATCAGAATTTTCAAAAAAAAGTTTTTCAAGCAAAGAAAAACTGAGAAAAAGGGTCGATATTTCAAATGGAGCTGATGATGGTGCTACTTTATGTTGTTTAATGATCTGAAATGCAGATAATACTTTGTGCAGCATACTATAAAGCCTCGCCGAAGGGGATTAAAATGCATCCAGGCAGCATAGTGACACGATGTTGCCGAGATTACTTTTATCCACTGAGTGAATTCTTCAAGTCATCAGAAACAAGCGTTGTAAGAAAAACAATGGATCCTCAGTTTCTGCTCTTCTCTAAAACTCAACAAATCAGACCATCTACATATCCCATCATTTATTTTTACACAAATGTTGCTTTGCTCCAATAATGTTGCAGAAACAAACAACTCTATAAACAAACACATTTGAATGCATGTGTTCCACCTTCTTAGTAAAAGAAGAAACATTTGTCAATGCAGTCTTTATTTTTACCATCATTTGTTAATAAGATTCTCCAAATCTGGATTTAAGGGCTGATACCAGTTCTTGTTTCTAGAACCGATGCAGATTTCTAATTTTTTTTATTATTATTTATTGATTGTGATTGCTGCATTCATGAACAAAGAAAAATAATCAGATGTTTGAGTGACAGATTATGCAATCTTCATTTGAGGTTATCGTGTTGAATGCTGGCCGATTCCGATCACCAGCCACATTTCTGGTACATTTCTAAACTTTTTTGTATTTTCTTACATTTTTACTTTCATACTGCTCCTTTTATCTTATGAAATAGTTTAATTACACTATTAGTTGATGAGCAACGCAAACATATTTCGACAAAATGTTTTTGAGCATCTTATTCACCATACTGTGTTGTTTGGGTTGCCCTAGTCTTAAACTTGCACAGATGAGTCACCCTCTTCCCCATCCTTCAAGCCCCAACCATACTCTCAGGTCTTTCAATTACTTGATGTAGGATGCGGGGAAGAAGCCGGGGCGCCACCTCAAAGAGGCTCTTTCTTTCATCCACTGAGAGGTGTTCTCTGTAAGGACAGAGCAGCGGGGTTTGCTTGAGTGCAAAGAGCCCGCTGATGCCCTCAAAGGTGCACTCACCCATGTCACTTTATCTTTCCATTTTCCTCCGCTTTATGGCTGCCTGTTCTGCGTGTTTGTCCCTTTCTGTGAAGGTATGTTGGCCCCCGGAGATTTTAGCCGCAGGCTGAGATGACCGGTCTGCTGGAGGGGACACCACAGCTGCAGCTTCTCAACCAACTTGCTGGCAGGTTAACACCATGCTTATGTGTGACACTGAGGAAAGCTAATCTTGGTTAGGAGAAAAGTCCAGAAAAATGTAAATAAGTGCTGAGATATTTGCAGAAAGTTGACAGTGGTGTAAATGAGGAGATGAGGAAAAGTCAAATACTCTAAATAAATGTCAAACTTCCTATTAATGCCATCCTATTGCCTTAAACATAAGGAAAAATGAATACATGGCAAATCCGGTGTGCAACAGCTCCGAAGGCAAAATGAAAAATAACCCAAAATTAAATAAACATTCACTTCTTCTGTGAAAATTTGTTGAAATTGCTCCAATGGTCTCCTTTTGTGTTTTAGAAGTTCAACAAAAATGCATTTGACAGAAATCATGAGAACTGTCCTCTAGGTCAGATATTTTATGCCATCTTTGAGTCAAGAAGTTGCATTTCTTGCAGAAATGCTGTTTGAATGCTGACTATTGAAAATTAGGCTGCCTAAGAAAAGAAGTGAAGCTTGAACTGAGATAAAATGTCTTTAAAATTAGGCCCCACCCACTTGCTTACAATGTCTATTGTGTTCCATTCTTATTTTGTACATGCGCGTAAGTTCCATTGTCGATACTGAAGTTGGGATCCGCCCAAATGGGCAACAATAACATAAGAGTCAGATGGCGGAGGATTGCAGGTTTGAGCCCTGTCTGTTGCAGTCGTTGTGTCCTTGGGCAAGACAATTAACCCTCCTTGCTTGCTGATGGTGGTCAGAAGAACCAGTGATGCCAGTGCTTAGCAGCCTTGTTTCTGTCAGTGCGCCCCGAGGCAGCTGCGGCTACTATATCACCACCAGAGTGTGAATGTGTGTGTGAATAAGTGCTATATCAAATGCAGGCCATTTACTATGACTTCTATGCCTTTAAGGTTAGAATAAAAAAATAAATAATCACTCCATGACCCGAAAATCATGATTTTGGGGTGGCCACCTTATGCATCACCTCGACAGGCAGCAGGGACCTGGAACGGGAGCAATGTACATTTAGTACCTGAAAGTTAGCCTTATAATTACTAAACTTGTAAATGGTATAAAAACAGAATGTTTGTTACAAATGATCATAACTTGGCAGCTTTTCAGCAGGTTTTATGTAGATTTAGTTATTTAAAAGATCCGGACTCTTGGCATAGGTTAGCTGGTTTAATGCTTTTCATATTGGTTTCATCCTTGACCCAGAAGGTTGGTTGCTAATATCCCAGTTTCCCACACATATTAGTTTTAAAAGGACCCACTGGTTGTGTTTCCTAATGAGCTGCCTTTCAGCTGACTGTACAGATGAAGTCATGAACTGTTTCGTTAACATAAACTACAAAACCTTGAACTGTCAAGCAAATCAAGCAAAATACCGTTACAGTTTGGAAAGAAAAAAAACAAACACTGAAGAGCAGAAAAAACAAATGTGAATCTCTAATTAATGCCCATAAAATATAGTAGAGATGAATGTGAGTCCAAACCCTTTTACACAGAATCAGGTCAGTTGTTAGTCCCCTCAAAGATATCCAGTCATAAACAGCATGACAAGAGTGATCACCAGTCGATGCCTGTATAACAAATAGATTTAATATTGTTTTAGTTTAAACTTTTGATTTTTAAACTTTAAAATCCACAAAATCAGGATTTTAATACATTAAACAAAACCAAGAGACCAGTTCTGGCACCTTGCTGGCTCAGGTTAACTCTTCAGAACCGACAAGGCATTTTGCAAAACTTTATTAGATCAAATATTTTTAAATTTAGGTCTAATGTGACTTTTTTTTTTACTGTAACGCTGCTTTTTTCTGAAGAGCTCCTGGTATTTTTGTGTTATTCTGTGCCCCGCAGACTGTCCTCAAGTCTCAGGATGTCCTTCGTAAATCATCTCCACCATCAGGATTCTAGGGTGTTGTCCTTTTTTAAACAAAAATAAGTTTTTTTCTTATGCACAAAGAAAGACTGTAAATAGAACTGTGGACCTGACAGGATCGTTTTAAAATAGGAACCGTTTTTACTGCAAATGTGTCCTTGACAAGTTTTATGGTTCTTTGAATACATTATCTCTACTGAAATACTAGAAACACCAAAATTATATTAATAGCAACCCATCTGGCAGAAAAAAAACTCTGTGATAAATAAAAATGCAGGATCAAAACATAGCTTTGTTGAGAGATGTGCTCTTCAGACTTTGCACCTAAAACAAAATAAAAAATCTGAGGATTCTGTGAGTAAATCGCTAAAGGCTGAGTGAAAAACCTTCTGGAAGAAAGACTTGAAGGAATGTGTTTATTTGAACCAATGGATGCACCACGTAACACATTTTAGAAACACACAAAGGCCTTTTTTTTTCCATTTCGTGCTTCATTGTTGCCAAGAAATCTGACAGTTGAGAGAACATATTTTCAAAAGATGAGGATGGGATTCTGAAAGAAGGTGAATTAGATTCATAATTGGAACTGAATTAAACAGAATAAATGAGTAAAAGGGAAAAAAACACAACATGTTGATAGAGGAGCGGTGATGGCAACAATAACATTCATCTGCATGGGTGACCGCAGGAGCACTTAGTTTAGACGCACAGTAAACATTTTATTTATTATCTAGACTGATGAACTAACATAAGCACTTCTCTAAAACCATGATTAATTGCTACAAGTGTTCACAAGAGACCTCGATGAATCAGTTTAGATGAAAATAAATCGTTTGTGCGACTCTGAAAGAAAGAACTGCTGGAAATTACACACTGCTACGGGCTAAAGAATCCTCACCACTGCGCTCAAGGCTCCGCCAAACGCTCACATCGAAACCAAGATATTAACAGCGCCAGCCATTCTGAGGTGCATGAAAAATTCAAATCTCATTTAAATTCCCAGGCAGCTCAATAAGGATAGCTATGCATCAAAATAGCAAAACGCCTTCGCCGTAATGACCACATTTTGTTGGAGATCATCTATCAAAAAATATGATTCTCTCATCTATACTTTATTCCTTTTTTTTGTTATATAATAGAAGTTGTGGAGACAGAGAGATGGGTGGGAGAGATGGAGGCTGTTCAACCAAAAAATGGTTTATTTGTAGAGGTATAGGAGTGAAAAACACATAAGAGACATCCCATTACTTTGTTGCAGGCAAAGATCCCAACAGGTCAAGAGAGGGACTGATGTGAGGAGGTGAGAGAGGGAGCCTTTTCTACCACAAATTTCTAACTGATGATTGTTGAAACCAGAATTCCTGCAGGTAAATGACAGCAACTCTGTTCTAAATGTGAGACACCTTGGCCACTTCTCTTATAACCAAACTATCTCAATATCAGCTTTATGCATTAGGTGCATTTCCACTGTCAGAATTTCAGGGTAAATTTACCGGAGCTTCCAGACATGCACGCATCTCCGCTTGACCGAGCTAGCTGAACGACCGTTTTCACCTGATAAGTTGTAGGAGTTGCAGAGTGAACTGATTGGTTGTAACTTAGTAGGAAATGACATCAGTAGACCTTGTCCAAAACAACTGGTAGTGGTAAAATTAGAAGATTTACTTGTGAAGCGGAATGGAAGCAAAAGAAAATAAGTACCAATCATGCATAAAATTGCCGCTAAACCCCCGACACCGAAATTCCCCCACATTGACTTCATTCACGGGCCTTTATTGTCTCACATAGCTTCTTCTGGTCATTGAACGCCACATTTTACATCAGGCAAGTGTGCTGGTGCTCCGAATGGATTAAAATATGCTATACTGCGACAGAATTTTTTTTTTTTTATGTTTATGCTAATGTGGATGCTTTTTGGCGCTGATTAGTGACATCACTCACTGCCAAAGCAGTCACGATATGCTGATGTGTGCAACATTCTGAAAGGGCTGAATGTGAATGGAGACACAATAGCTGAGGACCGGGACATCGTTTCTCCAGCTCAGTGTCCTCGTCCCAGAATTTAACCTGAAGTTCTGACAATGGAAGCACGTCTACAGGTTGGAAAATGCTAAATTAGTTACGACAATTAATTTATTCTACAGCCCTAAAGCAACATCCGAGGACTCAAATGTTTACTTACTGCCGACACGTTTCTGGTTATTGATGAATGTGTTTATAGCAGCAGGCTCTGTTTAGGTAGATGTGAACATCTTCTGAGAGTGACTTAGGAAAAGACTAATTACAGACTGTAGGCCAAACAAAGAGCTGATGCAACCTGCAAGTGTACATGTCTCCAGAGATGAGTTATCAATTTTGGCTCATAAATGCTTAACTTAAAAAATGTGTTTTGAATTGTTTATATTTAAATTTTGGCTAAAAATCGTTCTCACGGGTTGCTGGACTTCCACGTGATGACCTGTTTTTTCTGCAAATGATCAGTCAATGCACACATTGATACACATTCAACACAAGAAGACGCCTGCAGCCACACTTTTTCTTCTTTATAATTTCAAATGCTAACTTTATTGAACCAATGTTCATTAAGCTAACCATCTTGAATAGGGTCACCTCAGGCCATATTATTTTGTTTGTGGCTCTTTTTCCTTCCAGTTATTCACCAAATCATTATTATAATTATCTTAGTCTACAGTCCAGGGTCCAAACCAAAAGCTGTCCTCCACTCCCTGAGACCACACTGCTCCAGAACTGCCTGCAATGCTTCATTAAGAGTCCAGCCCTTTCTTCCATGACTAATCTACCATGTGACATGCTGGCATAATGCCTGCCTAGTGGCTAGTTTGGCTGGCTCCAAACAAATAATGAGAAGCTTGCACTCTGCCATTTCTAACATCAGAGTCAAAATGGGCTGAGCCTTTCATAACAGAAGCTTTATAAAAGCGAAGGGGGTGGGGGTGATTATTTCTGAGAATAAATGACCTGAAGGGCTGCAGAAGTGCATTTTTTCTGAACATTAATGCATGAAATTGTGTTTTAAATGAGCCTTGTGTAGATTTTGGGAAATGGATCCAATAACATTTAAATAATCAAAGCTCCAGAAATGCTGGAACTCAAAGTTACCCTCACAGACAAAGTATTATGCTCCGCATCTACTATAGAAATCCTATTATATCTGCAAAGAGCTGTGCTCATGTTACAAGGAAAATGTACAAAGTTAGAGGGGCTTTCCACCCCAAAGAAATCTATATAGTATATGCAACACATTCTCAAACCCTAAGCGTCGAAAAATGACGCGGTGTGACCAAGCGTTTGTTTCTGACGCGTAGAAAGGCCACACACTGTTCCAGAGCGTTGGTATCTAAAACGGAGATTTCACCGATATTTAACCTCTAACCTCTAGCGATTTAACCTTCCCCTTCCTCTCACCCTCATCCTAACCTTAACCCAGTATTTAAGTCTAAATTTTCCATTAAGCGTGTTTGAGAGGAACGATAAAACGCAAAACAAAGCTTTGCATGCACCAGCTGGTTAAGGTTAGGATGGGGGTGAGGGGAAGGTTAAATAGCAACAGGGTAAAGGTCACAATTCTGCCAAATCTCCGTTTTACCGTGGGCGTTAGATAGCGACGGGAGTATAAGCTGGAGCCGGTCGCCGCTGGTGATCCATCGTTTGCTTCTGGCGGCTGTGTGGTCTAGTGCCGCCCTGGTGGTGGACCAGGCGTGCCTGGCACCACGGAGGAATTGTGGAACTGAGGAGGAGACTGATGACTGCAGAGGGAAGAGTGAGGGATGACTCAAGAGGGGACTGACCTGTGGCTGTGGAGATGTGGATGTTGTGGTCGTGTTCCAGCCAGGTGAGGTAAGAGCTCCAAGAGGAAGGGTGTGCTGAGAAAATGCAACGTAGCATGGCCCCTAGTTCCTAGTTCATTCGCTCACATTGGCCGTTGGTTTGAGGATGGTATCCAGAGGTGAGAGTGACCCGAGCCCTTAAGGTCTCAGCAAACTCTTTCCACACCTTGGAGATAAACTGAGGACCGCGATCCGATAGGATTTCCTCTGGGATGCCATGAAGATGGAAAACGTGTTTTACAAGAAGTTGTGCAGTGACCGCTGAGGAGGAAAGAGATTTTAAAGGGACCAGGTGACAGGATTTTGAAAAACGGTCAACGATGGTGAGTATAGTGTTAAAACCATGAGAGTCGGGTAATCCACAAACAGAATCCAAAGCAATATGTGACCAGGGGCGAGAAGGAGTGCGTAACGGGTTCAACAGACATGCCGGGGAACGATGATCTCCCTTTTGTTGGGCACAGGTATGGCAACCTGATATGTAGTCTTTTACATCCTTATACATGTGGCCACCAAAAAGTCCACTTAATGAGGGTGACTGTGCGTCCCACTCCCGGGTGAAGGGAAAACTTGCCAGTATGAGCCCAGTGTATGACCTTGCTCCTCAGGGATTGAGTGACATACAGCCTGCCTGGGGGACCATGACCTGGACCAGGGTCAGTCTTGAGGGCCTCCAACACTTGGTCCCTTATTTCCCAGGTGACCCTTCCCACAACACATGCTGGGTGAAGAATGGTGGAGGGTTCAGAATCCTGATCTGGAGCATACTGCCTGGAGAGGGCGTCTGGCTTGGTATTTTTAGAACCTCAGCGATACGAGATTTGAAAGTTAAAGCGAGAAAAGAAAAGGGACCAACTGTATTGTCGAGGGTTGAGTCTTTTTGCCTCCTTTAGATAAACCAAGTTCTTGTGGTCAGTCCAGATGATGAATGGTTTCTCAGCACCCTCCAGCCAATGCCTCCACTCTTCGATGGCTAGCTTAACAGCGAGCAGCTCTCTCTCACCCACGTCGTACCTGCTCTCCGCCAGTGTTAAGCAACGAGAAAAAAAGGCACATGGGTGCAGTGGCGGTTTTACCATTAGGCATAGGTCGGCAGCCGCCTGGGGCTCCCATGTGTTGGCGGCCCCCCTAGCCCTGACCACCGGCACCCCTCTGTTAATGCCACAATATTCTTATTACCAACCTGTCGCCGCCGACGGGATTGGACATGCGCACTTCGCGTTACCATAATTCCTGAACCGTTCAAGATATCATTAAAATTCAAAAAGGGCTGAAAAGATTAAAATGGGGCTTTTCGTGCGTATACAATACATTACGGTAGCCACCGGGATTCCCTGTCTTGAGCGAAATGAATCACAACACAGATTCAGAGACGTGCTGAGTTTGTCACCCAAAATGCTCCGTTTTATAACTTATGGCTGATTAGATAAAAAAATTTCCAACGGTTCCTAAAAGTGCATAAAATGGCTTTCCAACGATCCATAGCATGAAACAATCAGAGTTATGGAAAATATCGCTACGAGGGGAAATCCTGCTGTACAGCCTGATTGAAACGGAGCGCTGCGCCGCGGTGAAAGCGGATAACAGAATGGGGAAGCTAATTAGCATAAAAAGCCGGCATGAAATTATGGAAATGCCTCAAAGAAAATCAACACGATCTATTAGGTGTCCCAGAAGGCTTATAGCTGAAGACAGTGACCACGAAGAAGGACAGATCTCCGGTGAACCAGGGTATGAACGTTTGTTCAGTCTTTTTTTTATTTTTTTTTTATTTGAACAACCCTCAACTATTTGCTAATTGTAAGATTCAGCTTCATTCCAGCATTATTTATCTTTTTACAATAAATAATTATTTTTGCTAAAACAAAAGTTTTTGGTATAGCAGTGCACGGTGTGCAAGAGAAGCACCCCATGGCAGTGTGAGGTGTGCAGGACGCTGCCTGCAGCTGGAGAGAAACTGCTTCAAGGTCTACCACATAAAAAATAATGTCTGAAAGTTTACAAAAAGAAATTGCCTTAAAAACTGCTACAAAAGATACCAAGGTTCAAACTTTTTTAAGAATAGATGCATTACAGTTCAAAGTTTAAATTGTTCATTCCAAATTGTTTGCCCAGTAATTTAGAAGTTCCTGTTCAGTAATAAATGTAAAAAATTCAAATCCGTTTTTTGCTTTTTTCACTTTTAAGCTGATTTTTTAAAGGCTTTAATAGAAATAAATTCTAAATACAAACCATACACTGAACGCTGAGGTTGTTCTGAAAAACGGAGAAGAGTTACACACACTTTGCACTTTTTATTACAATTTTACAGCCATAAGAAAAAATACCAGGCGGCCCTGTTATAATTATGGTCATAAGAGGGTTATTAAGATGGCGATGCACAAACAGGAAGTGATTGGTAGTCATTCCACTCCAATCCAGTTGGTGACGGTAATGCACCAAATTGTTGTTTGCAAAGTGCCATAAGACCATAAATAAGAAGAAGAAGAGAGGCAGCAGCGTTCGTAACAAACTCAAAGCGATAGTCAAACCATTAAGCATGACATGGAGTTATCCTAGTGGCTCCAATAAGAGAAAGAAGCTGCATGTTTCATAAAAGCTTTTATTTTCACTTCTGAAAGTGACGTCGTTTCTCGATGTAAACATCAAAAGGAAGCAGAAAGGAAAGACAATGGAAAATGTTTAAAGGGAGGAAAACATAGACCAAAATGGAAAATAGAAAAAAAAGGCAGAAGCACAGGAGCACTGACAGGAAAAAGAAAGCAGAGCAAATATTGAAAGCGTTCAAAGGGAGGGAAATACAGGAAAAAAAGAGGAGGACTGATAAAAAGGGAAAATAACTCATGTCAGAAGAGGGGTGGGTTTCGCAAATCCAGTTAAAGGTAAGATTGTCGAAAATTTAGTGTAAGGAGCCCCATGTCTGTGTTCACCTTGGGCCCCCAAATTGCTAAATCCGCCACTGCATGGGTGGAGGCGATGATCAGAAGGTGATACCTGGGATAGGACTGCACCACCTCTGTGTCCGAAGCATCCACCTCGAGGGTGAACTGCTGTAGGGGATCAGATCGGTGAAGCACAGGAGCGTTGGTGAATCTTCTCTTGAGAGCTCGGAAGGCTGCATCTGCTTCAGGGGACCAGATAAAAGGTTTATTCACAGATGTTAGATTAGTCAATGGAGCGGCGGTTTGACTGTACTTTCTGATGAATCTTCTATATAAATTTGCAAACCCCAGAAGCCGTTGTAACTGTTTACGGGTGGCTGGTGTGGGCCACTCAGTGACTGCCCGTACCTTCTCTGGGTCCGCCTTCAACTGCCCACTATATATTATGAAACCAAGAAACTTGACTGTGGGGACATGAAAAACACACTTCTCAGCCTTGACGTACAATCTGTTCTCCAGTAAACGCTGTAATACAGCACGAACATGATGAGTGTGTTGGTCCAAAGTCTTTGAAAAAATCAGGATGTCGTCAAGGTAAACCATCAAACTTGTTGATATAATCACCCAAAACCGAGTTTACTAAAGACTGAAATACTGCTGGTGCGTTAGTTAATCCAAAAGGCATTACGAGGTATTCAAAATGACCAAAGGGTGTCTTGAATGCCATCTTCCACTCATCTCCTTGCCTAATCCGTACCAGATGGTAGGCGTTCCTGAGGTCCAAATGACTGAAAATGGAGGTGTCCTGAATGGGTTCAAAAGTGGAAGTGAATAATGGCAAAGGATACTTATTTTTCACCGTGATCTGGTTCAAACCTCTGTAATCTATACAAGGCCTGAGAGTCCCCTCTTTCTTTGGGACGAAGAAAAAAACAGCTCCCAGAGGTGAAGAGGATGGTCTTATGGTTCCGGCAGCCAGGGAATCCTGAATGTATTTTTCCATGCTCTCTCTCTCAGGCTTGGAGAGATGATATAACCGGCTGGAAGGAAAGGGTGCTCCTGGCAACAGGTCAATACTGCAGTCATATGGTCTGTGTAGTGGTAATGATGATGCACGATCCTTACTGAAAACTTGTTTGAGATCGTGGTAGACTGGAGGCACCGTAGAGAGATCAATGTTTTCCACATGAGGGGTTGTGGGGCCGCAGAGAGTAGGAGAGGCAGAACGGAGGCATCGTTGGGAGCATTCCGGACTCCAACCTTCTATTCTGTTCCTCCTCCAATTTAGCTGAGGGTTGTGGAGGACCAGCCAGGAATGTCCAAGCACCAACAGGAACTGAGGAGAAGGGAAAACATAAAAGACCAAGGATTCAGTGTGATTACCTGATACCTTTAGTCGAAGGGGGATGGTTCGATGAGTAATGGTGGAGAGGTTTCTGTCATCCAGAGAGGAAACGGAGAAAGGCGTAGTTAATCGAGTGGTAGGGATTTTCCACTTCTCCACCAGGCTTGGATCCAGCAAGGACTGCTCACAACCCGAGTCAAGGAGTGCTTCGAGTTGGATCTGCTCAGTATTAAAAAACAGAGAACACGGGAGAGAACACCGGGAACTAGCAGAGTCTGAATTGCTGCCCACCAATAGTCCCGGTTTTACCGATGGGCTCTGCCTTTTGACAGTATCGGGCAGTTCCTAGCAAAATGTCCAGATTCTCCACAGTACATGCACAAACCTGACTTTAAACAATGTTGTCTCCCCTCCGGCGTGAGACGAGTCCTTCCCATCTGCATTGGTTCCTCTGATGCAGGGGTATCTGCTGAGGAGCGACTGTTAGCTCCATGGATCCAATCCTGAGTGGGTGGTGAACTAGACCTGGGGCTCGGTCGTCTCAACTCATGGTGTCTTTTATCAATTGAGATGGCAAGCCAGATAAGTTCCTCCAAAGATCGGGGCTTGGGGCACAAAGCCAGCTGGTTCCGAACCCGATCTTTAAGGGCCTCAGTGAGGGCTGCAATCAATGTGTCTTCGTTCCAAGTGGTCTTTGCTGCTAAGATACGAAACTCCAGAGATCTGCCACAGATCCCTTTCCGTGTGACAGATTCCAGAGCTTTTTCCTAATGTCCAAAACCGACTCAAAACTTCCAAAAGTTAATTTTAAGTCCAATAAAAATTCATCATATGATCCTGTTAGGAACAAATCACAATGGCTCTTGGCTTCGGCCCATCTTAAAGCCTTTCCTCGTGGAAGACCAACCACGTAGGATATCTTTACAGAGTCTGAGGTAGAGGCTCCAGATGAATGTTCAAAAGCCAGTCTACACTGTAGTAAAAAACTGTGACAATCATCAAACTCACCGCTGAATGTCACTGATGGTGGGGATGCTGCTAGACGGAAGTGGGTGACATCCATAGGACCTAAGGCTTCCAGTCCGGGGGGAACAGGTGCTGCTGAAGTGGCTAACAATGGTTCCGCTGGTGGAGACGGTTGTTGGGGCAACCGTTCATGGATCTGCCGCACCAGAGCCTCCAGCTGGTGGTAGCAGTTATTCGCCGTGGCAAGTTGCTCCATGAGAAGCGGCAGGGTTTGCTCCTGTTGGGTGAGCCTGTGAGAGAGAACTGTGAGGGCTGCTTCTGCAGGGTTAGCGGGTTGGCCGGATGATTCTGTCATGTTCTGGGGGAGGTGTCTAACCCAAGACATGCAGAATCAAAACCCAAACACAGATGGATGGGAAAAAATAATATTTTATTTTGGAACGACAACTAAAGGCGCACTGGGAAGTCCAGTGGACTGGGAATGGGAATGCAGCGTCTAGAGGGGAGAGCAGAGATAGGTGAGTCCTGGAAAGTAAGTCTAAACTGAATAGTGCAGAGTGAAGACTTAATGGGGTTGAGTGGGATTGGGGAGTGAGGGGAGGTAGTGAGCCAGAGTAGATCCAAGAGGGGAGTGTTCAGAGCTGGACAGGAAATGTGGGGTCAAGAGAGAGCGGGTCAGTCAGGACAGATGGGTGATGAACGTTGCAGAGCAAGATGGTCCAGAGTCCTATGGAGTTGGGTGAGTAATCCTGATATATCGAGAACCTGAGGAGAGTGAGCCAAAAATCTAAAAATCACACGCGACCAAAAATACACTAGAGTAATCCGAAAAAACCTGGAGACAAGAACGAGGGCTGGAAACTACCAAGTAATAGCAATCATCCGGCGTTGAGCTGTGTTTATCATCCCTCTTAAGTAGTCGACCCGCTGATTAGCAGATCAGGTGCAGCTGCCGCTCCCTCTCCTGCAAACGCACTCAGAGATATGTTGATGAAGAGAGCGTACTCACCCCAGCTCACGACACTTATCACCTCAACAGATCACAAAAACACGTTTCAGTACTTCTGCAAAGGTTATCCCAGTAATCTTCAGTTAATTTATGAGAAGTATAAGGCTTTAGACAATTACAGGATATAGGATTCTAAAAAAATGCACAATTTCAGACATCGTCCTGTTTCCAGATGCTGCCATTTCCTACCATTCTCACACAGGTGAACTTCTTGTATGTGGTAATTTGTGCCATGCAGCAGCTCTTTCACATCACAAATGTGAGGTTATCTTTTAATAATTTAGATCAATGATTCTGCCATTTCCCCGCGTGCTTCCAGTCACTCTGACCGGCCGAGTCTCATTAGCAAGCTACTGAGGCTAGTGATGGAGCTTGTTGCTTCACGGGGTATGTCGGTGGGGGTCTGTGAACCCGCTGCTGCAGATAAATGAGGGGTCAGCTTCAGAGACAGTGGGCTGCCACATTGGAGACAGCCGTCTTTATCAACTGCAAAGTGCACAGCAGCACACGGCTTCCAATTAGTGATCAGATAAATCTCACAGTTAACCACAGAGAAGTTCCAGCAGCATGGGTGCATGAATTTAACCAAGATTCTGGTGATTACATGCCTATTTTTGTAAGATCTTGCTCTCTGCATATAAACTAGGGTTCCAAACCTTTTAATTTGGTTTCATCTTTTATTAGAAAGACAATAGATCTTGTTTTGAGGGAAAAATACATTTATGGCTTTCTATATACACAGCTAAGACAGATTTCCATTTCAAAAAGTAGCTCCAGCCATCATTAATACATTTTATTTGCAGCAGTGGCACCCCAAAGGGGTGGCCATGGGTGGCCATGTCCCCACCTAGAAAATTGCTGGCCACCCCACATATAACTTTTTTCAAAAATGTTTGTGTTCCTCAAATTTGATGTATGTTGGGCACATATTTTTTTGTGTTAAAATTAATAAAGGATTATTTATTGCATCACTACTGGCTAAACTTTCCCAGAGTTACAACGAGGATCAATATGGTTTGCCACCCCAAAATTTTCTCTGGCCCCATGGCAACCCCAATGAAACTTTTCTGGAGGTGCCTCTGATTCCAATTCTCGCTCTGCTCTGGGTGGCTGCATATTGGAGTAGCTCTGTTAACTACATGTAAGTTTAGCCTTTTTTGGACATTTTTTTCTTCTAGCGTCCTAAGAAAAACTGTAGTTTTTTGGACCTTTTACTTTTCTGTTTCTGGTGCTGTGAAGCTTAGAGGATTTTTACTGCTATTTTTTCACTTTTTTCACTTTTTGAGCATTTGTTATGATGTGTAACCACGGCAACAAGCTGGTTTACAATCGGGAGCAGCTGATTAACATTGGAAAGGCTGGAATAATACCTCAACTGAAGCCACAAATCCCAAATGAGCTAAAACGCAAGAAGCGTGGATGCAGAGCGGGAGCAAAACGGAGACAGAGAAAGAGGAAATTCAAACCATTTCTTCTATCGATCATAATGGGCAATGTGAGATCACTGGCCAACAAGATGGACGAACTCCAAGCCCTTCCAAGGACTCAGCCAGAGTATCGACAGTGCAGTGTCATGTGTTTCACTGAGACGTGGCTGCAGGACCATATCCCCGATTCCAGCGTCTCTCTGCCAGGATTCCTGACTGTACGAGCAGACAGAGATCTGAAGAGGAGCGGGAAAAGAAAAGGAGGTGGAGTGGCAGTGCTTGTCAACAACAGATGGTGCCATCCATGTCATGTTTCAGTGAAATGTCGTCTCTGCAGCCCAGATGTTGAACTCTTGGCAGTAAGTTGTCACCCATATTATTTGTCAAGAGAGTGTTGTCTTGGAAACTGTTTATATTCCACCTTCAGCCATTGCTGAAAATGCATGTGATGCCATCAGTTCCGTTGTCGCTAAGCTACAAACCTAGCACCCCAATGCATGTGTGGCTATATCTGGTGATTTTAATCATGCCTCGCTCTCTGCTACACTTCTAACATTTCAACATTTTGTCAGCTGCTCCACCAGAGAAAACAAGGCATTGGATTTTTGTTATGCAAATGTAAATAATGCATAAATGTCCAAAACAAGACCTCCTCTGGGACAATCGGATCACAGTCTTGGTTTTCTCTGCTCAGAATACAAAGCACTTGTTCAGAGGCCACCTGCGACAAGAAGAACTGTGAGAAAATGGTCAGAGGATGCTGAAGAAGCCCTGCAGAGTTGTTTTGAGACCACAGATTGGATGACTCTCTGCCAAGGATATGAAGAGGACAGCAATGGCATGACTGGATGTGTCACTGATTATATAAACTTCTGTGTGGACAACATCATACCCACCAGAACAGTGAGATGCTTTGATAATAACAAGCCCTGGATCACCAGTGAACTGAAGAATCTGCTAAATGAGAAAAAAGAGCATTCAAAGTGGGCGACTTTGTGGGGAATTATTGAGGAGCATACAAAAGCAACTTAAGATTAAGATCAGAGACAGCAAGGAGGCAGGCTGGAGAACAAACTACAGAGGAACAATATCAGAGATGTCTAGTCAGGGATGAAGAAGATTACAGGCTTCAAGCAGAGGAAGGATTGCACAGATGGCAACCTGGACACAGCCAATGAACTGAACAAGTTCTTCAATATGTTCAGTTCAGGAACAAACCCAGCATCCTCCTCGCCTGTCCCCAGCCAATCAGACATCCCATCCTCCTCTGATCCAACATTGTCCTGTCACACGCCAGCTATTTTGTCCTCTAATGCATTCATGGACTCTTCTGGTTCTATAAATCTGTCTTCAACCAAGTCAGGAGATGCTGCTGCCCCATTTACCTCGCCCTCCCACCTATCTGTCTCTAGAAGTCAGGTGAAGAGGCAGCTGGAGAGACTGAATAGGAACAAGGCTGCAGGCCCAGATGGTGTCAGCCCCAGAGTACTGAAGGCTGGTGCAGAGCAGCTCTGTGGGATTCTGCAGCACCTCTTCAACCTCAGCCTGGCCCAGGAGAAGGTTCCAGTCCTGTGGAAGACATCCTGCCTTGTTCCAGTTCCAAAGAAAACTCGCCCATCAGTCAGTGACGACTACAGACTGGTTGCCCTGACATCCCACATCATGAAGGTCCTGGAGAGACTCCTGTTGGTCCACCTGAATAAGCAAACTGGGACATATCAGAACCTGCTGCAGTTTGCTTATCACCATGGAGTTGGAGTTGAAGATGCCATCATCCAGCTGCTTCAACCACCCCACTGTCATCTGGACAAAGCAGGCAGCACTGTGAGGGTCATGTTCTTTGATTTCTCCAGTGCATTTAACACAATCCAGCCTGATGTACTTTGCCAGAAAATCCAGAAGACACAGGTGGGGGCCTCAACTATCGCCTGGATTAAAGACTACCTGACAAACAGACCACAGTTTGTGAGGCTGAAGAACTGCACATCAAACCAGGCGATCAGTAACATTGGAGCACCACAGGGGGCTGTACTTTCACCATTCCTTTTCACCCTGTACACCTCAGACTTCCAGTACAAATCAGAGACCTGTCATCTACAGAAAAACTCAGATGACTCTGCAGTTGTCGGGTGTATCAGAGATGGACAGGAAGCTGAGTAGAGAGAGCTGGTGGAGTGCTTTGTGGCATGGTGTGGAAACAACCATCTGAACTTGAACGTGAACAAAACAAAGGAGATGATTTTAGACTTCAGAAGAAACAGGCTGGAGTCAAACACTGTTTCCATCATGGGAGATGAAGTGGAGATGGTTGAGGAATACAAATACCTTGGAGTTCGCCTAGACAACAGACTGGATTGGAGAAAGAACAGCGAAGCCGTTTACAAGAAGGGACACAGCAGGCTGCACTTCCTGAGGACGCTTAGGTCCTTCAATGTCTGTAGCAAGATGCTGCACATCCTCTAGAAGTCTGTTGTTGAGAGTGTATTCTCCTCAGCCATCGTCTGTTGGGGTAGTAGCATCAGAAGCAGGGACCTGAAAAAGCTCAACAGCCTAATAACAAAGGCTGGTTCTGTTCTGGGGACAACTGTGGAACCACTGGAGGAGATAATGCAAAGAAGGATTCTCCAGAGAATCAAGAAAATTATGGACAACCCTGAGCATTCTCTTCACAAGACTGTCTGACAACAGATGAGTGTCTTCAGTCAGAGGCTTCTTCAGTTTGGCTGCAACACTGACCGCTACTGGAGATCCTTCCTGCCAACAGCCATTGTAATATACAATAACTCTTTGATGACTTGATTATTACTATTATTCTGAGCTACTACAGCAATCAATTTCCCTCTGGGATTAATAAAGTATTTTTGAATTGAATTGAATTGAATTGACAACAATGGTGTTGTCAATGGTTATGGAGAAGCTGTCAATTTTGGCGATGTTGTACTTGGTACCGACCGGGAGAAGTTCAGTTTTACTATCATTAAGTTTAAGGAAGTTGGAGGTGAAACATTTTTTTAATTTCTGAGAGGCAGAGGGTAAGGGTGGAAGGCAGAAGGGTGGATTGGGGCTTAATAGACATGTAGAGCTGGGTGTCATCTGCATAGCAATGGAATTGTATGCCAAATTTACAAAAGATACTGCCAAGGGGTAGGAGATAGATTATAAACAAAAGAGGACCCAGGACAGAGCCCTGGGGCACACCTGAGGTGACTGGGGATGGTTTGGAAGAAAATGATTTTCACTGAATGAACTGAGTGCAGCCAGTGCGATATGGCTGGAACCAGCGGAGGGGGGTGTGAGTGATACCAAGAGAAGAGAGTCTATTTAGGAGGATCGAGTGAGAAATGGTGTCAAAGGCCGCACTCAGGTCAAGTAGAATGAGAATGGAAATGAGACCAGAATCAGCAGCAAGAAGTAAATCATTAGTTATACAAATGAGAGCGGTTTTGGTGCGGTGATGCGGGCGGAAGCCAGACTGAAAATGTTCATACAGCTTATTACATGTGAGATGGGAATGAAGTTGTGATGCCACAGTTTTCTCTAAAACTTTTGCAATGAAGGGAAGGTGTGAGATGGGATGGAGGTTATTGAAGTCATTAGGATCTAAACCATGCTTTTTTGGTATGGAACTGACTGCTGCAGATTTAAAATAAGAAGGAACTGTTCCAGATGATAATGAAGAATGAATAATTGCTGTAATGAAAGGGAGTAGAGACGGGAGGCATGATTTAAAAAGGACTGTGGGAAGGGGATCTAACAAACAGGTGGAGGGTTTCGACTTTGAGATTAGTTCAGAGATTTCTGATGGGTGAGGTAATTTAAAGGAGGCAAAATGAAGGGAGGGATTAAAGAGGTCAGCTGAGTGATCAGGCAGAGGGTGAGTACCAAGGTTATGGTGGATTCTATGGACCTTATCATTGAAGAACTGGAGGAGGGAGTTACAGGTGTCCGTAGAGTGTAAGTGGATAGGCAGTGAGTCCGGTGGCTGAAAAATCCTGTTAAAGATGGAAAATAGAGTCTTATTGTTAGCAGAGTTGGAACAAATGAGGTTGGAATAAAACTGTGATTTGGCGTGGATGATGGTTTCCTTATAGAGTGAGATCTGGACAGTGTATAAGTTCTTTTGGATGGTGAGGCCAGTTTTCCTATAGAGTCTTTCCAGTCTGCGATTTGTGGCCTTCATGGAGCGCAAGGCAGGAGTACTCCTGCCTAATTATGATCCAGTTTGGACTCAGAACTCTCTGATGCAGACTGAGGAGCCGCAGAGTGGTTTAATGATGTAAATCAATGGTGCTCTTGGCTCTGGCTGGCTTTAATGTACGTTTTAATTAAATAAGCTGAACATAATGTAAATAATTTCATTCTGAATTGTATAAAAACAAAGTTTTCTGGATGAGAGTGCAGTATAACCCATTCAGCTGCTAGCCATGATTTAAAATGCAAAAGACAAACTCTAATGAGCAGAAAAAACAGCGTGACACCAACCATACAGATGACTCAGCATATGCTTGCACCATAATGGCTCAATATTGTATTTTAGTCCCTCACCGAGTGACTAAGAGAGAACTCTGCAAACAACAGCTGTGATCTTAAAACAATTTCAGCTGCAAATCGGAAGCATCGGGTTGCCGTTCAGCACATCTGAAAAGGGTAAAACAATATAAAAAAAATAGATTTTAAAAAGGACTGAAGTTTGCTTTTATCTCTGCTTATTACAGTTTTTTTTATTTTTTGGTTCCATTCCAGTCCTGCCTGAGATCATATGATCATCTTCAGTTCACTAATAAAATGTAATGATTAATAACTGAGAGCCGGTTGTGGAGGTGACAGTGTTATTACGTCATTGTGTGGATTACAGTCGACTCCGCGCTCATTTAATTACCTGGTACCATAATCTTGCCATTTATCATTTGATTGCAGATCTCTGCAGCTCCCAAAGGATTTACCTTTCATTAGCCACGGTTAGCATGGCTGAAGTCATCGCCTGGCTTTAGAGGGCATTTCCTTACAATAAAGTAGGTAATTATGAGACTGTAGAGGAGCCAGATTTAGATTGTAAATAACCAGTAATCTGTCTTTTTCAGGATTATTTATTTTTAATAAATACATGTCACTTTTAGTGAATTTTACAGCACTTTTATCATTCTTTGTCAGCCACTGAATTAGTGGCAGCATCAAAATATAGAAGAAAATCACGTTTTAATTTCATGACCTTCATTTTTCATTGATTTTTTTGACTGGATCCAAGTAAAAATAAAAGCTTTTTATTCAATCCACTGATTTTTAACACTTTTGCTACGTGTTAATAAATGTAGAAGCATTGTGTCAAGCTATTTTGGTCATAGCTTGAGCTTCCTATGGAAGGATAGAGCTTCCAACTACACAAAATTAAATTACAGTGACATCACGTTATAACATCATAAATTTATTGTTCTACCAATATAATTTCCACATTATTACAATATGGTATCACGTTTGTATAATATACTATCATGTTCTAACAATATAATTTTCATGTTTGTACTAATATCATGTTTGCGCAATATATTAATAAGAACGTGATATTATAAGGTACGGATGTGAACATTTTATGGTAAAAACATGATAGTATATTGTAAGAATGTGGAAATTTATTGTACAAACGTAAAAGTTAGATTGTTGGAACAATAAAGTTATGATATGATTTGTTTTGCGTGGGTGGCAGCTCTATGCTTCCGTATTTCTCTCCTTAAGGCTGTTGTAATCATTTTTTGACTCTGTTTATTTTTCTTACATCATTATGTTTCTCATAAGCTTCTTACTGTAAGAGAACTTCTTGCAGGTATTTGTTTATCTTTTTCTCCCAGCAGTTACCATGGAGAACCCAGGAATCTGAGCTCGATTGGTAATGGCTTTTTCAACTCAAGGTACAGATGTTCAGATGTGACCAAAGCAGCCATTCTAGAATCTAAAACTCTGAGTTTTCCTGCTCAAACTCATCATCTCAATACTTTCATTTGGTCAGTTTCTACTAAACTTGTATCTTTTAATTTGAATTGTTTTATGCTTTCTTTGCACGCAGAGAATTTTTTTCTTCATGCAGTCTCACTGTGTTTGTTGGACAAATGAACAGTTTCCTCTTAAGATAATTTATTTGACTGTTTTCCTTGAAGAGTTGATGTTGCAACTCTCAAATTGTATTCGTTCTGCCTCTTTCTACTCTGGAATGAATAGATCTGTGATTTGAGGAATTTGGCATAAAAACCAACAGTGTAATTTCAGAAAGCACGGGGTAAAAATATTCAAGTGGAGCATCAAGAATAAACTCAGCAAACAGAATCAAAAGGTGGGTTTTCAGTTTTAGGCAACCTGTGGCATCTGTGACACTCTCCTGAGCCATCGGGGTTCATTATGAATGAAGCATTCAAAGGCCAATGCCAATTCTGGTCTGAAGCTGGGTGGCATCAATCATTGATGAGTCCCTTGAGGTCAGCAGTTAATTCTTAGTGTGAGACTAAATCCAGAAAAGTGAAATGCCAGAAACAACAGCCTCATCTCCACAAACAGCAAAAGGAGATTCAGCAGCAAAACCTTTATGCTCAAGCTCAAAAATGCAGGATGTTCCCAACTTGTTCAAAGCACTTTTGTGTGTTTGAAAAGGCATCAACAAAATGCAAATGACTCCCCTGGGTGTTAGTGCCTCCCAGCATCCAGATTCACTATTCACTCCATGATAATCAGCAAACAATCGGCTTCACTTTTTATCTGTGCTGGAGTTGTAAGAGACGAGCTGACAGCAGCAAACCTGATGGCGGTTTTCTCTGTGGCATCGGGTTCATCTGCTGCAGGGAGATCCTCGGCCAGGATCTCCTCAGGGCTTCGCGGGTCATTCAGGGGTGCCTTCTGCTCTTTGCCTTTGATCCCCATTCCTGCCGTGATGGCGTTCCATAAAGCACTCTGGGACTTTGAGCCTGGAGGGAAAACAACACTTACTAGAATTATTTATTTTAAACAGGGCCGTGAATCACTTACGTGTGTTTGTACCAACAGAAATAGCTCTGGGTTTAGTGTCTCTGTAATGCTTTAGTGTCTCTCTAATGCCGCCCCCTTGTGGCTGAATGTAGTCTTTGTAACTGGACACACATTAGGTAAGTAATACTAAGAGGGCATTTCTTCTTAGATTTGTCAGTTCACAAACATTAAAATAAAGGTACAAATCAATTTTTGTAAAATTCCTGATGAGTCAGTTTTTTTTCATGTCTATTTTTTTATCTTTGTAAAACTTTAATTCTAATTTCCTTTAATGTGAGCTTTAATGAAATGGGCATCAATCTCTGAAGCCAATATTTCACTAATGTCGAGTAAAATGACCCTTTAATGCTTTGATCTGAATGGTTAATTGCCTGAAATGAATAAATTCAGAGAACGGAGTCGTAATGAAGTGAAACTAATGGAGTGCACATTAGGCTTACGTGCAAAACTGGCCTGAGGTCTGGAAGAGCTCTCTCCATCTTCATTTGCCACTGAAGAGAAAAAAGACACATGGGAAAGGTTAAATAAAGCCAATGTATAACATTTAAGACCATCACCACCAATTTGCTTAGAATTTATTATTCCTCTTGATGGTTCATGTAAATAAAACATGGTCTCTATTTATTTGAGTTGAACACAAGAAAGTTTTTCCAACAATTTTTTGTTTTCTTGTCAAAAATCAACACAAACAAATATGTCTTATATTGGTCATAAATACTACAAAAAAGTATGAATTGATTACATTTTGTTTCTTAATTGTGATGAAAGTATTTATTTTATATGTCTCGTGACAGGCTATGATACACCAATTTCTAATGTTTGATGTATTATGTTTTTTTTACTTATATCTCATTTTTTTAACAAAAAACAAAACAAAAATCTAAGTAAATAGATCTTTTAAAGAACCTGGGGAATTCTAAGCAAAATATAATGCAGGTGAAACTAAGAAAATTTGAATATGGTATCTCTATTTAGACCGAGAGACCATCTAAAGGCTCAGGAACCATTTGCAGATGTTTTGGATTCGTTAGCCGATTAGAGTGTGGCACTTTTAGCCTGGAATATTGATCCTTTTCACAATATTCAAATTGTGTGAGATTTTGAGTTGGAGTTTTCATAACCTGTACACCATTTTAACTTGTAATTGTAATGAAGACCCACATATCCTGAAATCCCCCACAAACATGTGGTATGTCCCTTTAATTCAGTGATGAAATGAACAAGATTATTTTATTGATGTATAAATATAATGTCTTCATCCCACAGCAGATGCCTCTTCATGCAGTTCTCCCTTTGGCCACTAGATGCTGTTAATAAAGGATTTTTGAATTGAACAGATTAAACTGAAAAGGATCATTTCACTCAAAGAACGAAAGCCTGAAATTGTGTTTCATACCAGGAGCTTAATTAGTGTCACAGGGGGAATTTAGGAACATATTATCAGTGCTGAATTCCCAGTGGAGTCATCCTGTCATCACAATTTATCTGTTTTCATTCTGTGATGTTCAGCAGAAAACCACTCGTCTGAAAATGAAACTGGTTTTGCACCATGAAAAAGGACATTCACTTCTTATGAATGGCTTTCCATGTTTTATCGGTAGTCTTGATCAGATCTAATCAGTTTATTTTATTTTGGGTGAATAATTTAACATTATAAAAAATAGAACAACTGTTGGATTCTCCTTTAATCCCGTAAGAATTTATAGGAGAATATTGCATTAATAGCACTTGTGATCACACGTGATTATGCATATCATTCTGGAATGTGGCATCTTGACGAGTGTAAAAAAAACTGTAAAACAAGCGGTACTGTCGCAGAGAAGAAGCAGATTTAAGTGAAAGAAAGTGTTAAACAACAATATAAAATCCCAAAAAGGATGTGGAATATACAGGGATACATTAAATAAAGGCGTCAGGGACCGGTATGTGGACAAAATCTGCGTTATAAATGGTTTTGATCCATATGAAAGAGACCAGAGCTCCGATGATGTATTGTTACAACCCCGCAGTTCTGCAAAATGGACATTTTCAGCCATCTTGTTAGCAGATGTAAACATCCGGATGAGAGGTAAGCATTTTATTTGGTGTTTTTTCTAGTAAAACAATCAAATGTATCATACCATAGAAGTCTGTAGCAGGAGAAGTTGTGTCAGTGCACCCGCATTAGCTTACGGGTATGTGTGTGTAGCCTGTGTGTGTGTTTCGTGTGCATGTTGCGGTCGAAGGTGTTACAACCCCTGCTAATTGAAGAAAACGAAGAACCCATCCTCTTGGGGGGCTGCTGTGCCAGTGCAATCAGCTAATTGGCTGCTTCAGATGTTTCTGCCGACGCCCTTCCGCTTTATTATCGGTGTGGCTGTGTGCAGCCTGCAACTGTAAAAGTGGCTTGGCTGCACATGTGCAGCATAAAAAACTGCTAAGTGCAATTTGGAAAGACTCAGGGGGATCAGGAGTTGAGACTGATTTTTGGGAGCACCTCTGGGAGCTCTTGTGTGGCATTTTTGGTGAGGCCTTTTAGAGGCTGGGTTTTAATAAAAAACATACTCAAACATTAACCTTGTCTCCAGACCTCCTCCTTTTGTTCCAGTCCCACAAGCCGGGTTGCAACAAAGGAAAGAAACGATGTACAAAAAACGCATCTGTAACTTCACGGAATGAAAATACTCTGGAAGGTTATGTTTGGTCGCCTTATAGCTGCGATCAAGTGAGCCAACGAGACTTTGTTATGCTAAACATTTGGTCTCCGTGGTTTTGCCTCTTAAGCCGGGCGTACACTGTGCGACTTTTTCACTTTTTTGAGCCGATTTTCCACTCGTGCGAGAATCCACGAGATCGGGGCGAGTTTTGCGTTGAGCGTCGTGTAGTGTACAGGGGGTTACGAGAGGCGATTAACACCACGTGACCAGCTACCCATCAGCAATCGTGAGCTCGCACGGACTTCTGGCGTGTTTAATATTTTGCTCGTCCCTCGTGAGGGTATCGCACTGTTGAAGCGGCGCTGTGAGCGGCTGCGACCCAAAATGTATCAGAACCATTCACGGCGCATGCGCAATCCTGCATCAACGCCGCTCGCCCGCTATTTCCCTAATAACACACATTGTTCGATTTAATTTCTACACGTTTTTTTACTCACAAAGATTGTCAAGAAAGCGTGTTTGTTGTGTTCATGTCAAATTAAACTGATCACTAAACACAGATTTACTTTCTTTATTTCGTTTTCCTCATCCAACTCCCATAAATCCCTGTGTGTCCTCCTGCAGCACTCCCGAAGGACAACAGGAAAAACAAGACAAAACAGTCTGACGTGCTGAGTAAAAACTGCTATTTTTAGCATATTTTTAGGTCCGATGTGTTGCTACCAGACGTACAGTGTGAGCAGTCAGGTCGCATCCAAGAACTGGGTCGTACAGTCTGAGCACATGACTCGTGAGATCTGGCCTGCGAGGAAGTCGTACAGTTTGAGCTGAAGCTGAGTGCTACAAGTGAAAAAGTCGCACAGGGTACGCCCGGCTTTAGCAGGAAAAAGGTGAAAAGTTAGCTTGTTTTCCACCTTTATTCCTCTGGCGATCACATGTCACCCCCTAACACAGCAACGATTTACCAGATTTGCGTGAAATAACTGATCAAATGAATAATAGATTAGTTTAAGCCGCAAGAATGAGCCTGAGCACGCTGTTTACAGTATTAACAAGCAACAAGTATTGACTCACACGCCTCCAACGGGGCGGCCATTATCAGTGATGATGTCACGATCACAAGCCCTATTATTTATTACTGGATAATTTAGCTGACTGAATATTTGCTAAAAAAATATGGTTTTCAGAGCCTCATAATGAACTCAAGAACGTCTAAACAACACATCAGGTACTCCATCGGTTCGTGACAAAATAGCCTGTAAAATGGTCTTTTCAGGGCGAGCAGGTAAAATGGAGACATTCTGAGATGGTTCAGTAAAATTACCCAGAAGTCATAGCTAAAATGGGCCTATTGATCAGTATATTACATATCTTCTGTGCCCAGCTTTATTTTTCAAACATAGATTTTTTTTATTTTCATTTTAACCATAATTCTTTTATAAAATTGTCGTTGATAAAAAGTCAAATTAATGACATTTTAGATTACATCCACATCCACATACATACACATTCATTAAAAAAAGTATGGTGACTAAAATGACTGCATTATGACTCATGATCACCATAATACGTGCCTTGAGCACTGACTGCTGATGGACGAACCCTCTTAGTGGTCACCTGTAGGTTTCTAAAGAGCAGTGCAGTGGGTGGTTCCCACCATCTTGGCCGGGTCACGCATCTTGTCACTCCAAGAAATATAAAAATAGAGCCGAGTTGGGGTGGGACGGTGGGGCCAGATCACTGACACTCATCAAACTCTTAGCCAATGTAACTACGAGCTAACTGAGCTTATGAGCTTACGGAAGTTTAGGGGCTCTGCTACCATCTGCCTTCTAGGCTGTAACACTTTTAATGAGCAGGTTGACTTGGAAACCCTTTTTTTACTTATTATTTTATTTATTTATTTCACTCCCAGTTTAACATGCAGGCTGAATGTTAAACTGAAATAGGAGGTTGAAAATAGACAAAAAAAAACACTTGGATCAGAAAAGCCTGACATATCTACGTCAAATTGTCACTTAACCCTTTAAGCGCCAAAGTCGCAGAATTGCGACA